AAAAATATTTTTAAAAATAATTATAACCATAGTTCAATACAGTTATGTCTTTCTAATGAACTGGAGTTGCATAGGGCTCTTTAGGATATGACTGTATGACCTTAATTTTTACTGGATGTAGCTGCTGCTTCTTACCTGACAGAATCTGTAAGAAAACTGGCCTGACAAATGTTCGAGGTTTCACTGCATAAAATAAGTTCACCGAATTCAAAAATGGCAAAAACAGCAGCAAATTTAGGCCAAAATAAAGATGTGGTGGTTCATGAAGATCTTCTAGGAGTATCATTAGCCCACTCCGACCCATTCGTAGAATTATTATTATTATTATTACTTAAAAAAATATCCAAACATTTTTAATGTGTTTTTTAACTTAAAAAAACTTAACCATGAACATAAAATATGACATATTTTAGATGATATTTTTATTAAATATTAATACAGCAATATTTTTGATAATATTTTAAAAATAATATTGAGACAACATATTAGATTTGAGTTAACTTATAAATTTATATCTCATATCATAAAATTGTGATAATCTTATATAAATCATATAAAAATAAGTTATTAAAAACAATTTTTAATTAATAAAATATTGAATAAAAAAATTAAAAATTAAAAATTATTTAAGTCAATTTGGATTAACCTACTAAATTTATAATCTAGGTTATAAAATCAAAATAATCATATAGAAAACAGATTATAAGAAATTATAAAGTTTAATTTTTAACAAACTCAATGTTGAAAGATAAAGTATAAAAAAAATGATTAAAAAAATATTAATAAAAAATAACTTAAATCAACTTAGTCAAACATGATAAACATGCAACCTTGATAGTGAAACCAAGATAATTTCTTAAAAAAAATGCAAAGTTTATTTCCAACAAATCAAATGTTAAGAGTTGAAATTGAAAAAAAAATTGTGGAATCGAGACAATTTCACAGAAAATAAATTAAAAAAAATACATTGTTCAATTCTGAAACAATTTAATATTAAAAAATAAAATAAAAAAAATAAATATTGAGTTGTTGGAGAGTGAAATTAAAAAAATCCAATTAAAAAGAAACCCAAAAAAATAAATTGAGTCAACTCGGGTCAATTTACTAAACTCACAACTTAGATTATAAGATCGAGATAATCTCATGGAAAATAAATAAAAAAATTACGAATCCCAATTAAAAAATCAGAAAAAATTAATAGTTCAACTTGTCAAACCCGCGACTAGAATTATGAGATCAGGGTAACCCTGTAAAAAGTTAATTCAAAGATAATTATGATCTAATATTAAATAATAAATTTTTAAAAAATTGATTAAAAAATAGTAAAAAAACAATCCAAGTTAATCCAACTTAACTTGTTAAATCCACGTCTTAGGTTATGAAATGAAATAAATTAAAAAATTATAAAGTATAATTTAAAAAATAACAGGAGTATCAGTAGCTCACTCCGCCCCATTGGTAGAATTATTTTTTTTTTTTACTTAAAAAAAATATCCAAACATTTTTAATGTATTTTTAACTTAAAAAAAACTTAACCATGAACATAAAATATGAAATATTTTAGATGATATTTTTATTAAATATTAATATTGTAATATTTTGGATAATATTTTAAAAATAATATTGAGACATCGTATTAGATTTGGGTTAATTTATCAAATTTATATCTCATATCATAAAACTGTGATAATCTAATATAAATTATATAAAAATAAGTTATTAAAGACAGTTTTTAATTAATAAAATATTAAAAAATAAAATAAATAAATAAATAAATTAGTTGAGTCAATTTGGATTAACCTGCTAAATTCATAATCTAGGTCATAAAATCAAAATAATCATATAGAAAACATATCATAAAAAATTATAAAGCTTAATTTTTAACAAACTGAATGTTGAAAGATAAAGTATAAAAAAAATTGATTAAAATAATATTAATAAGAAATAACTCAAGTCAACCTAGTCAAACCTAATAAACATGCAACCTTGATAGTAAAACCAGGATAATTTCATAAAAAAAACATAGCTTATTTCCAACAAATCAAATTTTAAGAGTTGAAACTGGAAAAAAAAAAAAATTTGTGGGATCGAGACAATTTCATAGAAAATAAATTGAAAAAATACATTGCTCGATTTTGAAACAATCTATTAAAAGATGAAACTAAAAAAAATTAAATAAAAAATAAATATTGAGTTGTTGGAGGGTGAAATTAAAAAAATTCAATTAAAAAGAAACTCAAAAAAATAAATTGAGTCAACTCGAGTCAATCTACTAAACTCACAATCTAATCTAGATCATAAGATTGAGATAATCTCATGAAAAGTAAATAAAAAAATTATGAATCCTAATTAAAAAAATCAAAAAAAATTAATAGTTCAACTTGTCAAACCCACGACCAGAATTATGAGATTAAGATAACCCTGTAGAAAGTTAATTAAAAAACAATTATGACCTAATATTAAATAATACAATTAAAAAAAGTAAAAAAACAATCCAAGTTAACTTGTTAAATCTACATCTTAATCTTAAGTTATGAGATGAAAATAAATTTAAAAATTATAAAGTATAATTTAAAAAATAAACTATTATTAAAAGATAAATTAGATAGTGAAATGGTGAAATTAAAAAGAAAAATAAAATAAAAAAAACACTATTTAGGAGAAGTGTTTTGTTTGTGACCACATTTGATTTAGCTGTAACCTTTTGTGTTTTTTAAATTAATTAATTAAAGAATGAGAATAGTAATTATGATGTTTGTCAAGATGCAGTTGATGTGAAATTCTGGAGAAAAGCTAATATTCATTGCACACTTACTGGAATCAAGGTCAAGCATCTGCATAATCATAAATGTGATATTTACACCAGCAACAGCAAATGGATACTCCCAAGCAGATCGTTTTCCTCCTTTTTTTTTTAGCAAATATTGAAATGATGTCTGTCACGAAAAAAACAGATAATGTTATTGCAAAACATAGCCTGGTGTAAGCCTATCTATTCAAACTTCTCGGTACTGCCAGATAAGAATCTTACTGAAAATGTCTTTGCAAAGAACAGTAGGTTTTCCAGAGAAATGAATCCAGCTCCTCTGTCCACCAGGAAAAAATGCGCAGCTAAATAAGTGAAAACAATCACACCAGATATGCTGAATAAATGACAAGCAGTTAAAACAACCTGAAATCAGTAGATGGATCTCTTCCCTGCCATCCCATTTCTTTCCATTGATCAGATTTTAAGCCACTCAGTTCCCGATCAGGATATGTGGCAGACCATAGAGCTCTCAAAGCATCCTGTTTTCGTCAAAGCATCTTGTTAGGAGGTCTCCAAGAATGTAGCTAGAACTGTTTTTTAAAATATGTTTTA